GGAATTTTTCTCAGTTTATCCAATGTGCTTTTCCACTCTCTAGTGCTTCTTCTAAATAGAAAAGAACCTAAAACTTCAAGAGCAAGTGGCAAACCTCCACAATATGCAACCACACAGTTTGAGAGTTTAAAATATCCTGCATTAGGACGATTGTTTTTGAAGGCATGCCAGCTAAAAAGCTCAAGACCTTCTTCTTCATTCATTTCTTGAGCATGATATATTTTATCCACTTGAAATAGCTCTAGCAAATGTTTGTCTCTTGTCGTTATAATAATTCTACTTCCCGGGCCAAACGAGTCTCGATTTGTAGCCAATGCATTTAGTTGGTCCTTGTGATCTACATCATCGATTATGATAAGTACCCTTCGACATCTAAGTCTTGTTTTTAAAACATTGATATCAACTCTTCCTATCTTGGTTGGTTTCAAGATGTCAGAAAGAATTTGTTCTTGCATACGCTTCAGTCCATTTGGTTTCTTTGCAGTTTCCCTCACATTTAAAAGCAAGCTTTTACCTTCAAAGCTGTGATAAAATTGGTTATAAATGGCTCGGGCAAGTGTTGTTTTGCCTATTCCACCCATCCCCAAAATTCCAACTATGCGAACATCATCTGATCCAACATCTAAATAGTTACTCAGATCTTGCACCCGAGAATTTAGTCCAACAGCGTAATCGACTACCGACGAGATTGTCTCGTTCATCAGCAGCCATCTAGTAATCCCTTCAATAATTTCTCTAATAAACTTCGCTTCATACCTGAATTGAAAATTCAACCTATCAGAATTGGGGACCTAAAATGTTAGTTTGCAATTTTTATTTTTATAATATAAAAAACAGATGTCTATTCTTTTTCCAACTGAACTGTAAGCAAAACCTCTGTAGCAAAAAACAAAACAAAACAAAACAAAAGACATTATGGGAAGTGTATTAAAAGAAGTGAGTTAAGCATTATTGTTCAAAGAAACTAGTAATTAAATACCCATCTGCAGTGTTCCTGAGATCCCAGCCAGACAAATTTGCAGCTTCAATAAGAGCAGCTCTCCACCTCACCACCTTATTATCTCTACCTAACAAGTTTTCTTCATGTTTCTCAAATGCTTGAGCAAAGCTGCCCCTCTGTTCTCTTACATCCGATGGATCAATATCGTAGAATATTGGCATAACCGTTTGCCCTAGTGTTGTTCTGCACTCCATGATCTTGACCAGCTCATCAAGGCACCGACTTGACTCAGCATACCTCCTTGAGAAGATGACGACAGATATTCTAGACCCTTGGATTGCCGTCACAAGTTTGGCCGTTATATATTCCCCTCTACTTAATTCATTGTTGTCGAAAAAGGCATTGATCCCAGCCTCTCTTAGAGCCATGTAGAGGTGTCCTGTGAAGCTGTTGCGTGTGTCTTCACCTCTGAAGCTCAAGAACACGTCGTACATCCAATGTTGTTTTGAAGAGGAGAAGGATGAGGATGAAGAGGAGGCTCTATGAGCTGTCCTGGTGCCCATTGGTGTTGCAGCAGAGCTTCTGATGACAACTATAGAATGGCAATGAACCTGGGTCCTCAAAATGAAGGCAGGCCAATAAATATATATATATATATGTATATAGGTTGTTCATTTTAAAATCCGCCAGAAAATTGTTTGTTTTTGGTTTTAATTGAGAAATCCGCCTGCAGAAGTTGTTTGGTGATTCAAACATAATCTTTTGGAACAGAAAAACATAAATTACAGTCCTTGGTTTTGACAATTAATTAACGTAACTTGCATTTTATATTACTTTTTATTCTTATAAGTTGCTCCATTTTTTTTCTCTGTTCATTTTCCCTGTTACTTAGGAAACAATAGTTTGCATGTATATATATATATATATATATATATATATATATATATATATTCAACTTTCACTAAACTCTACTAGTATGATCACGCTTTTTTAAAAATATTTTATTTTATTTTTTAAAATTCTATTCTCTCTCTGGTTTAGTGCATGCTTTTGGTTCCTTAAATCAATCAATATAAAAAAAATATTCTTATAGGATTTGGATTCATTCTCTTCTTCTATATGTGTGTAGTAAGTTTCCTTTTCTTAGCCAAAAAAGAAAATAAATAAAGAAGGAAAGTAAACGAAGTTACTTTATTCATTGATTCTGTTTTGGTCGGCCCTTATTCATTCGTTTGCTCATCACTTTTACTCAACTCAAATAGCTTTCAACTTCAATCACAGAATTTTACAAACTTAAATCCAATTGGAATAAATATCCAAATATATGGTATGTGATTGTTATTGGAATTAAAAAATTGAGCATCTCTATGTTCATTTTTTATATATATATAAAGAGCGATAGTATTTTATGAGGAACATAAACAAGTACAAAGCCACTATAGTGCCAAATATAGATAAATCTTCTCCAGTGATAAAACATAATAACAAGTTAAATTGATATGGAGAAAATCACATACAGAAAATAACAAATTCGTATCAATGGACGAAAACTAAAAATAAACAACAACAAAGTCCTAAAAAGTTCCTGAAAATTATTAGACAAACAAACTAAGAAGGAGGATCACTGCTCCACATCCTCCTATTTTTATGAAAACTGCACAATTCGCAAACAATATGAAAACTGCACAATTCACAAACATATTAACTACGTTCAAAACTATCTTTATTTTTATGGAGGATTTCATACAATCACACCCTACATGTTTCATTTATTATAAGAGATATTGAAACGACCAGACCCAAATTCCACTTTGGAATCCGGGTCGAATCTTGTTTAAATTGACACCTGGTGGTTGTGGATCGTGAAAGACCAAAATACCCTGATAAACAATAACATAAACTCTGAGCCCCTAACTCGTGGCTGCACCTGATAACTGTAGGCTGCCTACGTACCCTTACTGAGGGATCAAGCCACACGTAGTTCTTTCCTCTGTTCCTGACCTGTAACTGGTTTGTTTTACTGTAAACCTTACTCTAGGGCTGACATTTCTGGAATATCCGAGACTCCGTTTTACGATCCGTCAAATGCTATACGATCCTGAAATTACCTAGATCAACATACTGGAACATGATTACGATCCGACGGTTCAAACCTGCTGAACCCGGGAATCACCCACTAGGCGAGATCTGTTCGGGGTTCAAACGTTATCTGAATTAAGATCCGCGAAAACCTACGCGCTCGTGGGGCTAGGAGATTATTCTAGGGCTGACTCTGGTCCCCACCCTGATGCCCACGCGCCTCCACACGCGCCGGCAGCGCGTGGTGCCTAAAGCGATAACACTCTGCCGGAAAAACTCTAAACCACGGCTCAAGACTCCTACCCTAGGTATAACACCCTATTTGGAGCCACTTTTGTTCTTAGACCTACCCAAAAACTGGCCGGAAGTGGCCGGAAGTGGCCGGAAGTGGCCGGAATAGTGACTCGAAAGTCTGCTGAAACCTAACTTAAAAATCGAACGATCTACGCTTGAAATCTCTGAAATCCTACTCAACCAGAAGCTAGAGCATGAAAAATAGCTAGAAATCCATACCTCACTCGACTGATTTGGTGGTCGGAGGGGAGAGAAACGGCCGGTGAAAGTTTAAGAAAAATCTGTCCAACACCGCCTGTTTTGTGGCTGATTCCGACGACTACGGCGGCGGATCGAGGCAGCGAAGGCTGGGGCTGGAAGAGGGAAGTGTGGTGGTTCTAACGTGACCGGTCTTGCTTGAATCGGTGACCGGAGGTGGGAGAAATCGCCCCTTGAAGATGGCTAGTCGAGCTGCCCCCAAAACTGATGAAATTCTGGGTTTTTCAAAAACTGGACTTCGACGTATTTACGGTTATGCCACTGAACTTCTTTTGATCGTAACTCCTTCGTTACAACTCCGATTTGAGTCCACTACGTGTCTACGGACTCATCTCGCTGCGCTCTACGCAACGGTATAACTGAAATCCCAAAATTCCTTCCCGGTTAAAAAGTTCACTTTTATACTATTAAAATATTCTAGGGGTATAGTGGCATTTTATTGGAATAAATTAATAATTAAATATTAATTAATGACTGGGTTGTTACAAATATTTAGTCACATACCCATTTTTAGCACTAATGATATAAATAAACCCTACACCATTTAATTTATATAATAAAAAAAACCAAAAAATGACAGCTATCCCTATTGAATTTAAGTTTGATTATTAAATTACTTTGATGCTTAATGAAGTGTTTTGAGTTTTTTTTAATGAGGTATTGGACTTGAGCTTGTTTTAAGAAATCGATGACAGTTTTATAATTTATATGAAGTTAAAAACCTCTTTGTTATGTTGTAAATGAGCTTTGTGCATGTTTCTAAAGTCTGTTTTATTAGGATTTTTTTATATATAATTTAGACCTCTATATCGGGTATAATAGTGAATTCCTTTATTATAATCACACCTCTTGTTTTTAACATTTGTTTTGATTAGTAAACGGTCCGACAAGACCATCTTTCCATCAAACCCCCTCCAGCATCAACTCGCCTACCCCCCCGATTGATCTCTATTTTCCTCTACCCTTTCATTGTCACTCAAATATGGTATGTGTCAATCTCGAATATAAATAAGGGCATTACAGGCCAACCACTACAAAATACGTCATTATTGAAACATACGGACCTTTTACGGATCAAAATAAAAATACCCCAAAAATTTTACATTTTTTTAAACACGTTTAAAATCATTTGAATACACGCTACAATAATTTTTATTTATTTTTTCTAAATGCTTTTAAATTCAATGTTTAATTTGAACTGTCAAAATCGGTGGGAATCGTCAGGCAATTACAAATTACGATAACTCTCTGTCTCACCCAAATTTTAATAGCACAGAAACAAAAAGGAGGGAGGGGTTGGAGCCACCCAAAACTCTAACCTTCTCTCTCTGTCTACCTCGCTCTATCACTGAAACTAATTAGGGTTCTTGCAGTCCAGATAAAGATACAGAGAGAATCAGAGAAGCCCTAATAATCATTCAGAATAAAGATGAGCAACCAAGTGGGTGTCCGGAGGACCAGTCTGAGCCAGAAACGGGGTCCCTCCGCTGCGATTAAGAAATCGGTCCCTCCCGAAAATGGAACCTCTAATGGCACCACCAGCAAACCCTCGTCTCCTCCTCACCCCCTTTCGTAAGTTCTCTCCTTTTCTCGTTTTTGTTTGCCTCCTGAGAAAATGGTTTGGGTAAATTTGCCTTTTTAGAAATGATTTAAAGTTTTGGGTTTTGTTTTGTTTTTTGTTTTATTCATGTATGTAGAGGGTTTTTATGTTTATTGGTTTCCTGAGAAAATTGGTGTCTAGAAAATTTGCCTATATTTCAACCGAAAATGATATATTTTTGTGTGTTTAAATTTAAATATTTGAAAGGTCTGGTGGTGGGGAAAGGACGGTGAAGAAGCTAAGGTTGTCAAAAGCCCTAACTATTCCGGAGGGGACTACAGTATCCGATGCATGTCGGAGGATGGCGGCTCGCCGTGTGGATGCTGTGCTCTTAACTGATGCAAATGCGTTGCTTTCAGGAATTGTGACAGACAAGGTTCATTTTGTAACTGATGGTTTGGTTCTTTTTGTGATTTTTAAACTATTAACTTTGCTTATAGTATTTAATTTCAGGACATTTCGGCTAGAGTCATTGCGGAGGGGTTGAGACCGGAGCAAACAATTGTATCAAAGATCATGACGCGGAATCCTATTTTTGTTAACTCTGATTCATTAGCCCTTGAAGCTCTCCAGAAGATGGTCCAAGGTTAGCTTTCTTTATCTAACAAGATTTCTTTTTTGGTAATTTTTTTTTATTGCGTGTGTGTGCGGGTTTGTCTAAGAACTTGCATACAATCTGCATTATTTATTGTTGCATTGGGGGCATAAAACGTGCTGTGGTTGATTTCTTTTGTTAACAGGTAAATTCAGGCACCTCCCTGTTGTAGAGAATGGAGAAGTTATTGCCTTATTAGATATCACCAAATGTCTCTATGACGCTATATCAAGAATGGAGAAGGCAGCGGAGCAGGGGAGTGCCATTGCTGCTGCAGTTGAAGGAGTGGAGCGCCAGTGGGGAGCCAATTTATCTGGTTTGTATTAATGTTTGGAATTTATAATGAATTACTTGAGTGTGACCCGAAGTTTCTTTCTGTATTAAATTTTTTGTAAATAAAAGCCTCTATTTCATTTTGAACATGCTCTATATCAACACATCCTTTTTTTTAAATTGATTTTCTTATATATATATTATATTATACTTTGGTTGCATACATATAACACATCTGCTAGAACATGACCTTTTGTTTTGTTTATTATCCTGTATTGCAGCTCCATATGCTTTTCTGGAAACTCTGAGGGAGCGAATGTTCAAGCCTTCCCTAGCAACCATCATTGGTGAAAATACGAAGTACAGTTCTTTAGCTTGACTTGCCTTGTACCCTGTTTGTTGGAGGGTGCAATTTGGCTTGGTTATTTTTCATTTGTGTTTAAAGTTTGTATTCTATCCCCAAACTCGTAGTGCTATGTTTTCAGGGTTGCAATTGTTTCCCCATCAGATCCTGTCTATGTTGCAGCAAAAAGGATGCGGGAGTTTCGGATGAATTCAGCTATAATCGTTACAGGGAACAAGATTCAGGGGATACTAACGTATTGTTCTTTTCGTAATATGTTTTATGAACATTTTGCAAGTAGATGTTATTGTTGATGTTGTCTAACGTGCCTTCTTTTGCAATTTCATACAATGTTTGCTTTTTGATTGACTGCAGTTCAAAGGATATCCTTATGCGAGTTGTGGCACAAAATCTCTCTCCTGAGTTGACTCTGGTGGAAAAGGTTTATGATAAACCATTTAATGTTTGATTGTTCTTTATGTGGTATTAAGAATACTGTGCGCACTCCCTTTTGTTAAATAAGCTTCCTTAAACAAACTTGAACCAACTTGTGCTGTTCCAACGTTTCCTAAGGTAATGACGCCAAACCCTGAGTGTGCCACGCTAGAGACAACAATCCTTGATGCACTGCATATAATGCATGAAGGGAAGTTCTTACATCTTCCTGTCTTAGACAGAGGTAATCAGTACTTCTTTAGCTTCCTATTTTTAATATATGGATTTAAATTTTGACATCTATTGTTCAGATGGAAGTGTTGCTGCTTGTGTGGATGTTCTGCAGATAACTCATGCAGCTATTTCAATGGTAAAGTCATCCCATTTCCCTATTTACCCATTCTGTTCATCGGAATGAAGCAACTTTAGAGTTTTCGTTCTTTCATTTAGATATGAAGCTATTGATCTTTTATTTAGATGTTGAAATTTATTGAACTTTAAGTGATGGGCCCATTTGGTAATCATTTAGTTTTCAGTTTTTATTTTTCAATATATATATATATATATATATATATTGGTTAGAGATATTGGGGAAACAAAGGAGGGGATGAAGAAGGGTGGAAGGTCTATGGAAGAGATAATGAAAATTAAAAACTGAAAACTGAAAACAATTTTATATTGCTTTCACTTTCAAAGATTTTCTCAAAGATTTCCTTATATTATATCAAGTATGGGAGACCCTCAGTTTCTATCCAGTCACCTTGGAATGGAATCTTACTTAAGATTTAGTTGCTCCAAGGAAAGTAGGAAATCATTTTCGAATGTGACGCCATAATATGATATCGGTTCTGTTCTATTTTGAAATTCAACATAAGAAAGCCTTTTTATCAGCCTGAAATGGCGTCAGGTCTACCTTAAAACCAGCCAACTTTGCCAAAGCCAATTAAATGCTTCCCCACTTGCCAAAGTAAATTGGTTCTCTAGCAATACTTAAATTAGAATTTTTTTATTTTAAAATTTTGCCTTTTGGTACTGTGCTTTTGTTCAAATAGCTCGTGATATGGTCAAGAGGAGCTTTAAAAAAATGGGTAAGTTGTGTCTAATTGTATTTAGGTTATAGGGTTCAGGGAATGTGATTGAATTTAATTATATTTTTATGTTATTCATGTCATTTATTAAGTTGGAGAAGAGGATGAAATGATATACATTAATGAGATTATAGTACTTTTTTTGCATATGTTGTAATTTAACACATGTTTTAATTACTAGTAAAAATTTGATTAGGAGTTAGAGGTTCCCATGTACAAGTTATTGGTGAGTCTAGGAAAGGGTTACAAAACTTTTTACTGTGTGGTATTTGTACTTTGTAGAATGTATACAACTGATAACCCACTTAATTGGTTTAGTGCAGAAAATGGGTCTATAAGAATAAAAATTAGGTGACTTGCCAGGGCAGACTATGGATAAATATCCAGGCCAGGTCAATAATTTTGTTTGTTTCTCACATGAAAATTGTTTAGTACATTGACACCAAAAGACTTTCTGTGGCGGCATTGTTGATGATGGGTACTGATACATTCAATTTTCATATGGCCTTATGGTCAAGATATGAAAGGAGAGGACGTTCATGAAGGAAAAATAAGTGGAGGTGAAAGCCTGTCTGTCCAAGGGTTTTAATGAGTTTGATTATTGTAGATGAAAATTGAATTTTCTAATTGTAGCACTAAAGATGGCTTCCCTTGTTTGATACAATTTAGTAATACATTGCTGATGATTCAGTATCTTCTGTTCAAAATGCAGAGCTTGAAGCTTCAAATTACCATGATTTATTTTGTCAACTCCATGAACCTTATGTTCTAACTTCCATTTCATGCTTATAGTTATGGTGCTAAATGATGGACAGATTAGTTGTCTTCGCTAACACGCTTCTTACGTCTATACATTAGTATTTTATTTGCTTCTTTGGTGATGCTACTAGAGCACAGTTGGATTTGTGTTATTCTCCTCTTCAACTTTGTAAAATCCAAGGATGAGTTGATTAAGTAGTTATTTTATTTTGTTTTTCTTTCCCAGGTTGAAAGTAGCTCAGGAACTGCTAACACTATGGCAAACACAATGATGCAAAAATTCTGGGATTCAGCACTTGCTTTGGAGCCACCTGATGATTGTGATACTCAAAGGTTTGCAAAATTTTCCAAGAACGTCACTTAAATTTTGTTGATGTGAGACTGATTGGGATACGAAAATCCATTTACTCAAATGCATATTCCGTATTGCTTCCTTGATTATTCGGTTTCCTGGTAACCTGGTTAGCTCATTAACTTATACCTAGGGGATTTTTTTGCAGTGAATTGTCTGCACTAATGGCTTCTGATGGGACAGATGGAAAGTTCCCTTATCCTTCTCTTGGTCTTGGAAATTCATTTGCGTTCAAGTTTGAAGATATCAGGGGTCGAATGCATCGGATCAATTGTGGTAAGTGGCAGTCGAAGGCAACATTTCATTGCAAGGATGCTTGAATATGACTTTCCTCGGTTTCCTTTTTTGGTCAATCCTTGTTACCTATATATCACTCCTAGCCAATGAACATTTTGTGGAGTGATAGTGATGTAGGACAGCCTAAGGATTTGCTAAAATGCATGAAAACTCAAAGAACCAGATTAGTGAACTTGTAAAATTAAATCGAATGCTAAGGGATTGTGAATGAATTAAAATACAATATGGGGGCTGAGATGGAAGTAATTAGAAAATTAACAATGCAAATTATAAGAAGTAACAACTATGATCATGCAATACCGGAAAACGAAAGTCAATCAGAGAAAGGACTTTCGGTTCCTTAAGTGGACTTATTGAACTTATGGAAGTCGGACTAACTTTGGAAAGAAACATGTTTACAATTATACTTGCAGCTTTTTTTCTTCATGTTTTTCTCTTCATTTTACTGATTATTAAAGGGGTGATACATTGGGAAGACGAAGTTTTGATTTATTTATAAATTTTGGGGAGTATATTTTTGTTTTGCAGTGGATAGATAGCTAGGTATAAACTGCGAAATAGGGGGTATACTTCTCCCCTCCTATTTTAGAGGCTCTAAACTGGGATCTTGAATTCTCATTGTACCTCTAGACCAATATAGCTCATTGACTTTTGGGGGAACGGGGAGAGTATTAGTGAGTTGTATTTATGATTATATTTGGGGATGGGGACATTAATGGCAGCTTATATGACAGTGGTATGCAGAAGTAAGCTCGGTGATGGTGGTATTAGTTGTGGCACAGAATTTGTTGTATACTGACACATGGTTTAGTCATATAAGTGTAGCTACTGGGGGTGATCAGCAGATTGGGTTTGACTGGGGATAGATAGCAGTCAGTGTGGTGAGAGGTGTGACAGTGATGATGGACATGGTTAATGTTTTTGTGCTTACATGCCCAGCTGTTTACAACAATACTATAGAATTCAACCCACAATGACCTACTTAAATTTGTTTTCTCTGTTCTCTTCAGGCATGGAAAATTTAGATGAGCTGTTATCTGCTGTCATGCAAAGGATTGGTGCTGCTAATGATCATGATCGTCCTCATATATTGGTAAAAACTCTCAGCTATTTTTGGTGTTATATGATTTTATTCTGCTGTAAAACTTCAGATTGTGTTTACTTCAGTAATTTGTTCCACCAGTTTGAAGATGATGAAGGTGATAGAGTTCTACTTGCAACTGATGATGATCTTGTTAGTGCAGTCAGCCATGCACGAGGAGCGGGACTGAAGGTACTACGAAACGTTGCTTCTTTGTTTCTTTTATTTTATTTCTAACACATTTGTTTTTTACTTTTGCGCATTTTGCACAATAGTTGTCTTGCAAACTCTTGATCATCACTCTCCTGTCTAATATCCAATGAATGGAGGTTTTAGGGGAGTTTTGATGATAGGGTCAGATTGTTAGTGTGAAGTTTTGAGTTTTGCTCTGATATTTCGTACTCTCTCTCTCTCTGCTCTCTCTCTCTCTCTCTCTCTCTCTCTCAGGTTTTAAGGTTGCATCTGGACTTCTTCGATTCTGGCCACAGAACCATATCGCAGTCAGGTACACAATGGCCCAGAAACGGGATGGACATCTCTCCACACTGGAGTTTTGGCAAGTGCTGCTGTTTTAACCAGCATTGGGGTGTTGGTCTACTTAAAGCGCACTAACCTGTAATGTTATCCTGATTGTTCAAAGGAAGCACATACTAGGATCAATCAGAAAAAGGTTACTCAAGAGCCATGCCCTGCCCTTCCATGCCAACCCTAGTAGATTATCTCATTGGCGGAGGTTTAATGAAACTGAACATGTTGGATTCAGATCACGACCAACAGCAACTAGTGTTTTGTAACAGAAACGGAAAGTAATAAATTGTAGGTTACACAGAGATGCAAGAAGGTGATGACTGGTTCACACTTAACATTCTTTTTGTTTCTGATATTACTTTGGAAGGGATTTGCGTCTTCTTTGCAAGTGAAAGAAAATGCAGAATTTGGTTCCAGGCAATGTGTAAAGTTTCTTTTGCTAAAACAAGAAAAATAAAAGGAAAAAATAAAATAAAATAATTAGGCTTCCGGCGATGTGAAGAATTCGATTCAAGGTTTCGACCCTTTCCTTTGCAATTAAATCCTTTGGCAAAAAAAGGAAGAAAAGGAAAATTCAATCTTAAATCATTCCCATCAACTAAATTCGTTGGCAACCAATCACAATCAACGTGGGTGGGAAAAACAATTGAAGAAAATATTAGATAAAAAACTTTTAAGATGCCCGAAACACCCCTCAACTGCTAATTGTTCATCCACAACACTCGATTGATTAGTGCGAACAAATGCATCATGGCTCCGTCCTGCTCCATCATCCGCCACGGCCAAAGGGATCGTCCTCCACTGCTGATTCTTCAACTATAGCACTCATTTGATCACCGGGAATAGACGAGTCATGGCTCCGTCCTAACTCATTATCAGTTCCCCAAAAAAAATCCAGATATGGTTCCACTGCTAATTGTTCATGTATAACACTAGTTTGATTGGGAACAAATGCTTCATCAACTCCCCCAGAAAAATCCCAATTTGTTTCCAAATCATACAAATGAGGATCCAGATTATCCATACTTTCCTTCATGACTTCGTCCCATTCTAATTGTTTATCTACAGCACTCGATTGATTAGTGCGGACAAATGTACCATGGCTCCGTCCTGCCCCATCATCAGCTACTCCAGAAAAATCCAGATTTTCCATGATAGACAATGAGAGACGAGTACGTGGATCGCCATGGCCATCGTCTTCCACTGCTGATTCTTCATCTATAGCACTCACTTGATCACCGGGAACAGATGCGTCATGGCTTGGTCTTGCCTCATCATCAGTTCCCCCCCCCAAAATTCCAGATATGGTTTCACTGCCAAAAAATCCCGATGTGTTTCAAAATCATACAAATGAGGATCCAACGTGTCATCAACTCCCCCTGAAAAATCTCGATTTGTTTCCAAATCATACAAATGAGGATCCGGATTATCCATATTTTCCTTCATGACTTTGTCCCATTCTATATGTACCCCTGTCTTCTTCACTCTCACAAAATCAACATCAACAGGCCTTACAAGAATCGATACGTGGTCACCGCCTTCCAAATGGAGCACATCGTTTGACAATTGTCCCTGCCAAAGATAATGGTCTACAGGTTTATTCCAAGTTTCTACCGAGCCAATTGCCATCCAGGTGTGCAAAGCAGTCTGTTTGGTAAGATTTCTAACGATAATGCCAATATGACCTTGATAATACCAATGAATTGTGAATTTTGAGTAAACGAAGCATATAGTCAACCCTTTAAAATCACGACCCATGATTGTTTGAGGAACTTCAAAGAAGACGATATTGTCCACATTGTTTACACCATAATCAACCGAGCATATCTAGCATCAAGCAACTAGCACCAAGGGCATCAACACCAGACACGTGTCACCACCACACGACTTGCAAGAGTCCCACATCGAAATTCTATGCAAACCTCCCACTTTCACCTCCCTATAATAGGGAGTAGTATCATGTGAAAAAGGGGGACTTCCTCTCTCCACTTAGAAGAGGATCCGGGTCTCAGAGCTAGACCTAGGGCCGAGGACTCTCTTCTAGATCCCTAGCCTGGGCATCTCACTGTCATCTTTATATTCGGGTCCAACCCCATGTACAAAGTAATATACTATTATAAATGAGACATCTGAGAGATGCTCACAGTCCCGTTCGCATCTCCTGCGTTCATGTCTTACATGGAGTCGCCAACTAGGGCACCCCCCCGTAGTTTTTTACAGGACCGTGTGTGTTGTTGATGTGTCACGGGTTCGATCTGCCCAAGTCTTAAAATGTTAGGTCCTCACTATTAATGATTTTGCATAGTGAAGCGATCACACTGCATCCGCGTTGGAATCAATATGAGCCCTAACCCTTTTGGCACTCAAACCCACATCCTTGCCGCATTTCGCACCTAGGATTCTCATATCCTTCCCATCAATTTCCATCTCCGGCAGACGTCCTCCCTCTCCATGTCGAGCCCCGCTGTCTCCGCATACCTATTCTTCCTTTGCCGTGCGTTGCGTCTCTGTTGCCCGTGTGTGAGAATAGGGTGGTTTTTAGTCACTTCCCGTGCAGGTCGACCGCGTGCCCGTGATGTTTGTGCAGTAACTACCAAAAAAAAAAAAAAAAAAAAAAAAAAAAAAAAAAAAAAAAAAAAAAAAAAAAAAAAAAAAAAAAAAAAAAAAAAAAAAAAAAAAAAAAAAAAAAAAAAAAAAAAAAAAAAAAAAAAAAAAAAAAAAAAAAAAAAAAAAAAAAAAAAAAAAAAAAAAAAAAAAAAAAAAAAAAAAAAAAAAAAAAAAAAAAAAAAAAAAAAAAAAAAAAAAAAAAAAAAAAAAAAAAAAAAAAAAAAAAAAAAAAAAAAAAAAAAAAAAAAAAAAAAAAAAAAAAAAAAAAAAAAAAAAAAAAAAAAAAAAAAAAAAAAAAAAAAAAAAAAAAAAAAAAAAAAAAAAAAAAAAAAAAAAAAAAAAAAAAAAAAAAAAAAAAAAAAAAAAAAAAAAAAAAAAATGCATATTAGAGCATCCACAATGATGCTCTTAGCTAAAAATATAAGAAAGCTATTTAGGAGATCTCTAAAAATTTCATCTCCAACCATACTCCCTAATTTGGAGAGTCATAAATGTTATAACTCTTTTTTGATTGGTCTATCTCTATTAAAAAAATAAAATAAAAAATAGTTAGCATTAAATTAAGGTTTGAAATACTCATTAAATAAAGCAGCATTAAATTATAGGGAGTCACTAGGAGTCTTTTCTCTCTCCTCAAATTAGGAGCTCCTAGAGGACTCCCTATTTTAGGAGGTGGATAGGGAGCATGGTTGGAGTTGCATTTTTACAATGCCTCCCTAAAATTTGTCTAAGGAGGTGGTTTAGAGAGCCCATTGTGGATGCTCTTAGCATCCTTCATTGTAATTAATGTTCTGGGCGTAGATAGGCATATTTCCTCATATGACCATGATGCTAATTTAATTTACTTTGAATAATTTTAGGAAAATGTTAGGGAGACCAACTTAGGAGAAATTATAGAATAGTACCGTATCACCACGTTAGCTGGTGATACACTTCCACTCAAAATATGCTACGTGTCAATTTTTTTTAAATAATTTGATTTTTGGGAAATAAGCTGGTGTAATCAGGTTTCAGAAATAGTGTGCTGAAATGATCAGGCTACAAATTGTGTTCTAATATAATCACTTGGGGACGTGAAATGACCAAAGTGCCCTCCATATAAAAGCATATCTATTGTGGAGCTATTGGCCATTGATTGCTGATCGAAAACTTCTGACCTCGCTCTCTGCGTTCTCTCTTCCTCTCTCAGCATTTTATCTCTCCACCGTCGCTCCATGACCACCACCACTCTGTTTCTCCCACTCTCACGAAACCCATCCCTGTGTCAATTTCTCAACAAAAAAACTCAATCTTTATCCCCTATCTAGGATTATCTGGTCTTACAAGTCCAACCCAGAAAAATAAAAGCTTAGCCAAAGCCTTACATGTCCTTTAAGTTTTAATCCTTTATATTTTCTTTCCTGAGAAGAAATAATGGACACAATGGACAAATCAAAGTCGATTTGCTACCTTCTGATAGCATTTACTTCATTGTGGGAATCATTAACAAGAAACTCGATGTGAATAAGTTCCAAAATGTCCATTCTTGCTGCAATGGGCTATCGGATTCTTGTCTCGGATCGTTGAAACGGGGCATCCAGGTATTTATTTATAACCTTTCTGTTCTGATTACATTTGGACATTTGCGTTTCTATTTTTATTGAAATCGTTTTGTGAGCTTTTCAATATGTGTGTTTCTTTTGGGATTCTTTCAATTGTCTGTTTCTGGGTTGTTGTTCTATTGGTCCTGCTCTCACGTAGATGAGCAATTGCATATGGATTTATAGTGCTGGAGCTAAATAAGATATATTAAAGTATATTTTAAATCTTGGAGTGGTCTTCTTTACTAAAAAAAGGATCAGTTTTCTTTGTAAAGATTCCCCCTTTGTTTATGTATATGTATGTGCATACATACAGCTCTTGATATTTATCAGAGGTTTATTTCATAGGTGATTTACTTAGACAGACTCTGCTTTTGAATACTTATCTAATATAGTAGTAGAGTGCTCATTTGTGTGGTGATTGCAGGACTAGTTCCCTGTGCAGTGACCATTTGTGTGGTGATTGTAGGACTAGTTCCCTGTGCAGCACAAGAGATTGAAAGGTTTTCTGAAGATACGAGAAACAAGGTTTGTATGCCAAGATTGGGGCACAAAGTTCAGATCTTAGCCGAGTTTCAGCTAGATTTTTGGTTGCTATTTCTCCTATTTGGTCAAAGACACTACTTGTGCAGAGACTTTTGCATTTATACGGAAGAGCTTATTTTATTTGGGCTTGATATATTATGCTTGAGGATTAAAAGAATGAAATTTTTGGATATGCTTCAAAATCCCGCGTTTAGAACATTAATGAATCATCAGAAAGGCTTCAGCTTTAGATGTTAATAAGGGATTGAATATGTATTAAGCAGAGTCTAGTGTATGGATCCCTGGTGGTGCTTTCCTCTTAGTCATTTACCTGTCAAATTCTGTGACTCATCTTTGATGTTCCCTGGAAAAAAATCTTTCTTCTTTCATTGTTCTTTTGAGTTATTCCCATCTGTAACTTATCCTTGATGGATGCTTCTTCTTGCAGTTAACTTCATAGCTGTAATAACATACCACATTTTGCCTGACAGTAGGATTTTCGGGTTGCTTATTGCCTAAGTTTTGTGCAAAAGAGCTATTTTCTTTTTCTTTTTTTTTAATTCAAAAAGGGCTTTAATTTCTTTTCTTGGTTACTCAAAAAGAGTGTTTGTTTCTTCGTCCTTCTCATTCATCTTACTCCTTTAAATTTTGGAATGCAGTGATCTCAACACCCTGATAGTGAAATGGCGAAATCACAAGGCATCACAGTTTCTCCTCCTGCGCAGCAGCAAGGAAGCAAAAATGTTCAGACTGGACGTCCCCAGAATATACTCACCTTAAGCTTGACTAAAGGAAATACAACATATGATGAATTTAAACATGGATTCCCATCTGATGGCTTATCCACTGCATCCAATAAATGGTGGGGAAGCAATAGCCCTGATGGTTATGAGAGCATCCATGGAGAAGGAGCTGAGACTGATGAAGACAAGAAACATCAGTCGGAAAAAATTGGCAGGTGATGGTGCAAGTTCAATTGTAGTGGACAAAGAGAAATGTGAAAGTGGGAAAGAAGAGAACATTAGTTCCCAAGGAACAGATTTACTGATGGCTGTGAGAAAAAGAAGTCTGGAAGAAGGGCAAAAAGCACTTAAGCTTGGTGTTTTACGGGGTTATGGTGAAGCTAGGCAGAAGGGAGAGGGCATTGCTTCTCCGAATATTCTCTCTTCAATCGTAGTTTGACTGCTCTGGACATTATAGATTATGTATAATTCATGTTAGGTTACACAGTTTTTTCTTTCGACATGATTGACAATCATATTGAATTCTCAATCTGAATGGCATTTTCTTTTTTTATTTGGCCTCAGTCTGAATGGTATTGTTTTGTTTTTCTTTATGATGACCATGAGTTTCATAGACCCCATTGGTTGATGGAATCTTGAGAGAGGTTTCCAAACCACAAAAATATTGTACTGCTACTGTTTACCCCACAAAATCATTGTCCCTACTTCCTTTTCATTTGTTGCAATGGCTGTTTGGCATTAATTGGTTTATTTATTTTGCTTTTGTTTTTGCCTCTGGTACTGTATTCATGTCTTTGCTTGCTAGTTCCCTTTTTGTGGTTTTCAAAGGTGTAGCTTTGGTGGTTTTCAATGCCACTGCTAGTTCATCTTCTTCTTATTTCTTGTCAAAGTTGATAGGGAGGCACATCACATTGTCTTCTCTATTAGGCCTGACAAGCTACAGTTTTTCCCAAACCAGGTAAATTCAAATGTCTCAATATCTCTCATTGATAGGGCTCTCTCTCACTCACAAACGAGCTACTTAAGTAGCTATCAAACGGTCAACAGCGAACGTTAAATACTGCACCATTATCACCCTCTTCACCAACCCACTTTGCTCGCTGCATTTTTTGTACAAGAGCTCCACGGTTCGTGTAAGTTCTCATTGCTTCTTTGATCAATTTGCTTCGAGTTAGCTCAAAAACTTAAACTGCAATGCTTCTAATTCTACTTTGAAAGATTGGAATGAAATGAGCAAGTTTCTTGGCGGTTGGCCCCCAATTCTGGAACTAATTATCTGGGATTAGTTCATTGCTCAAAACAATATGGTAGCAATAAATGAGCAATAAAGTGACAATAGACGAGCAATAAACATGCAATACAAAAACAATACGGTAGCAATAAACGAGCAATAAAGTGACAATAGACGAGCAATAAAAATACATAAACAAATTGTGGGCTTTTCTTTTTCTTGTGCAATTTGAAAAGAAAAGGGGAAAGAAACAGAAATTGTCAAGATAAAACTGCAAAAAGAAACAGAAAGTGATTATATCAGACATTTCCCCTTACAAAATTCTATACTGATAATGATAGCCACCCCAAGCTAAGGACGGCTCGGCATAAATTAATACAACTTCAGTCAGACTATGGCATTATACATATCCCTTGAAATACAATATACAAATTTCTGGCTCCAAGAAGAGTAACAAAATTTTGATTCCAAATCCAGAATTTCAGTACAAATTGATGACTATAATGTCTGCGTCCATCTTGAAGATGAAATTCTTTCCCCCATCTTGGAGGCCTGACATAATGCTCTTTGATAGTCACCCACCCTTCTTTAAAAAAGTTCGTCTTTCCTCTGCAGGAAAAAAGAAAACAGAAAAACCAAGATCAAGATCAATTGTCCTCCAAAATATAGCTTAATTCTGCATATGATCCTTCAAGCTTAAGTAATTCATCATGCATATGATCCATAATGACGCTAAGGGAACTCTTGAGCATCTTCTTGTTTGAAAAAACAAAAATAGTTTCAATAGGCAAAAATAGTATCAAATTTTGGACAAGCTAGGTAAATACATCTTAGATATTAAAGATTGTAAGAATAAAAGAATCCTGTACACATACAACCATACCTTGAATTAACAATGCTGGACTTCCATCCCTTGGATTTGAGATTTTATCTACAATGACAAAAGTGGCCCCATTTTGGATCTATCCAAATTAACAATGAAGAAGAGTGAAATGCAAAACATGATATGATTCGTCAAACTCTCAAAACTAGGTCAAAACATAATCAGGGTAAATGCCATAAGAAAGGCCATGACTGAAAACGCACTGACCCAATATCCTTTTTCTTTTTTCTTGATGTACCAATAGTACTTTTAGAAGGAAATAAATAAAACATATTCTTCCACTAACATATATAGACATGCCCACTAATTTTTATTTGGCCAAGGAATCCAGGTTCTTACACCCTACAAATAGCTTAGGTAAAGATCAACCTATTTATTAAATGTCCACAGCCTCAAATTCACTGAGCTTCACATGGATATACAATGCCTCTTCTATAGATTACTATTTTCCAATGACTTGACAACTTTTGCTCATCTTGGATCTTCTTTAATTACGAGGAAACTAAACCAAAAAAAGGTGAGAAAATATCATGAAAAGAAAGTTATTAGATACTCATAAACCATTAAAGATTCTACTCAAATATAAAATCTCTATAACACGTTTATCCGAAAGTCTCTATGACTCTTGTTTAATTCAATTGCAAGACCAAGAAGATTGTTATTACTCTTCACCACCACAGGAAAAAAAAAAGGAAAGGTAAAATATAAACATTCACAAATTACCTCATCAACTGCATTGTCAAGTAGATCTGCTATGGCTGAAAACAAGAATAAAAAAAGGAATGTACTGTCCTTGTCAAAAAGGAAAAAAGCACAACATACATAAAGTTGAATTCATTAACATATACATAAAAAGAATGAAGTAAGATTGAATTTACCACAAAATGCCCATTTATGTGAAGTGGCATTTGCATGAAGGAACATTGGGTGGACATGTAGATAGTTTTTGCCATCTGTGATCCAGAAAGAGGAATGTCATAGAACATACCATGCATAAACAATATTAGATGCAAAAGATTGCAAATATTGCATTGTATATGAAAAACCGTATCATCGAAACAAAAGTCATCACCAGAAAAATCATGAAAACTCGTGAAAGAGCCTCAACAGAATTAGTTGGCCTACTAATCAGACAATATATGCTTTAACCACCAATATTAGTAAAATTCCAGATGCACTACACTCAAGTACAAAATATAACAGTAGATAGTAGAATACTTTGAATTGTGACTTTAGAACCAATGCCATCATTGTAGTTCCCAGCTTTCCAAAATTGCCGACAAAGTGGTGCTGGAGATCAAGGCGATGTATAAGAAAGGCCAGTATCATCCACTGGTGACTGCCCTTGGTCTAATATACTAGAGCTACTGTGACCAGTACTTAGAGCATTTGAGCTCCTATTTTCTTCATATTCTCGTATTGCACATGGGGTTTTTGACTTTTGATGCTTCGCAAGTAGAGCCTTATTGTTCTCATTCTGTTGCAATTTTCTTGCAACGAGACCTGGCTCCAACTTAACAGGTTTCACATCAACCTCTCCAAGTTCATCATCGTTGGATAAATCTACAATGTCTGTTAAGGTCATCCTACACACTAAAACAGAAATTAAACATGCATGCAACCAAGTAAGCATTTTAAATAAACAATGGGCATAACTCCTATAACACCATAACATCAAAAAGCAAGCAGGACATGAAAATTCAAATTCAAAAACCCAAGACATTGACAGATCAACAAAGACTAAATGAAGTCTTTTTCATAAGGTGTTTTACTCAATGGAGAAGCAACAAGTCAAAATTACACCAAACTCAATCATGTAACCTGATCTTCTTTTGGTAAGAAAATGAAAATTTATTAAAGAAAGAAAAAAAAACAATTACAAAAACAAATGGACAATAGATCCTTCGGAAACAAATTGAAGCTAATAACATCCCAAGAGAAACAAGAAAACAGGCACAAGAAGCCTACAAGGCCAAACATAACCACACCCTTAAATACCACTTTATACAATATGAATTTGCTATTAAGCAATTCAAGCGAATAAAAGGTTAGGGAATTTTTGTTGAAAAGCAAAAGATTGTTTCATGAAATCAGCTACACAAAGGTCCTACGAAAATAATCAGAGAAATTCATAGGTCTCACCAGATTAGGTTTTCGCAATAGAGGGAGAAAGAGAGTGGTGGTGGTCGATGGAGAGAACGCGCTGAGAGAGGAAGAGAGAACCGTGAGAGAGAGAGAGAGAGAGAGAGAGAGGAGAGAGAGAGAGAGAGAAGTCAGAAGTGTTAGGGTTGATACATCTGCTTTTATATGGAGGGCACTTTGGTCATTTCACATCCCCAAGTGATTATTAGAACACAATTTGTAGCCTGATCATTTCAGCACACTATTTCTAAAACCTGATTACACCAGCTTATTTCCCTTGATTTTTTTACAAGCTGTATTTAAAATTCATTATTTACATTTAGAATAAAATTTTAGAAAGACAAAAAACCAAAAGACGCCATAACCACCTCCCTCCCACCCCAACCCAATTTCCCCACTCCCCACTACTTGCCCCCTCTCCCTCTCTCTCTCCATAAAAATCTGCAAGATCTCTTAAACCATGGGAGCAGAAAACAAAACCAATATCATATATTCTAAGTATGTCAGGAGTATCCCATCACTTAAACCCAGTTCGAAAAAATTCTAAATCTTAAACTTAGGTTTTCATTTTCAAGCATAGCTCAAGAAAAAAAAGTAAACTGTAAACTGGGTTGGTGTTTTTGGTCTTAATATGTATTAGGAAGTGAGTGATGGAGGAGGAGGAGGAGAAGGAGAATCTTAATCCCTTTGGTAATATTGTGGAGAAAAATCAACCCCAAAAAAAGGCGTTATGACGCTCTCTGCACTTCGATCCAATGAAATAGAGATATGGTTGTTGTTTATGGAATAGAGAGATGGACGGAGGAAGAAAATGATAGGGAGGGGCACGTCAGTCAAGGGAGCCAGGGTTGGGTTGGGCGGTGGTTCTTCTGTCTTTTGGATATTCTTATTTTCTCAATTTTATTTTAAAGATAAAAACATAATTAAAGTCCAGCTGTATAAAAAAGATTTAATTATTTAAAAATAATAATACGTGGCATATTTTGAATGGAAGTATCACCAGCTGACGTGGTGATACGGTACCATTGTATAATTTATCCAACTCTTTAGATATCAACTTGTGTACCATCTCTCTAAGAGCACTTCCACTCATTTGTCATGGCAATGGCAAGGGCAAGGCAAAGGCTGTTACTATTCACATAAATAGTGACAGCCCTTGTAAAAGGCTTGTGGTGTTTCCATCCATTGCCATGGCAACCACTATTCATATGAATATGAGGAGAGGAATTTGTATAGAGTTTTGGTGTGGGAAGTAAAGAATATGACTAAGTATTTATTAAAAAAAAATTCTGAAAATTTTAAGTATTTTTATAGATTTTTTTTATTATTATTATTATTTTTATTTTTTGTTGTTGACGTCAATAAACCCCAAGCAACAACTCAGGCTATTCTTGCCTTTGGGCCAGCCCAGGCTTGTGGAGCCCACCAACAGCCCTGGCAGCGTTTGTTTGCTGGAAACCTTTTTTGGGCCCAGGGCCCCCTTGCTCGGGCAAAAGGTAGGTCGTTGGAATTGGTCTAATAGAGCATGAGACTCATTGTGTTAGTGGGCTCCGCCTCTATTAGAGAAAAATTGGCAACCAACCGAAAAAGATGGGTGGACAACCAAAAGAAGGGATAGCCATAGGTGCACCTTTGAGGATAAAATCAAGATGAGTGACATTGTTTTTTAGCGTGCTTGAACCCAAGTTGAAGTTCCTCATTTTACAACCCATTGACGACATCACTGCAACCTCGTGATAAGACCTGGCAAGGATGAAAACTACTGCTGAATTGAGGAGAGAACATAATATTCCTATTCCTGTTAACAAAGATTCACTTTACAAGGTAATCTATGATATGAGGGGCTCACAGTGAGGCTGCTTATTATTGCAGTGGTACATGATTTCTCTCAATTCTGCCCCGGCAGTACTGCTATTGTTTTCTTTCTTCAGTTTTTTTTTGTGTTATCCAATGGTACTTAATTTCATGTTCTTGTGTCAACAGCCAATTGAAAGGAAGCTGAAGAAGTTCAACCCATTGGTGATTTGATTCCTAAGTCATTGCAGGCTGCTTTACCATTTGCATCAAAGCCTATAAGGATATGCCCAGTAGAGGAAGGCCACTTCTTGAAAATAGAAGAGCTGTTGTCATGGAACCTCATGAACGGAAAGTTCATGCTCTTGTTCAACATCTTCGATTAATTAGAAATGAGAAGGTATGCACCTTAAGACAATTATTGTGTTTGAATCATCGTGCCAAGTGCATAATGGATGGTTAAATTTGTTGAAGAGCCAAATTGGGTAAGTAACACTAATGCACAGACACACTTAGAGAGACCCCACACTGGTAGAGGCACTTCAAAAAGATTAATTTACCTTCCAAGATCTTGATGGAGGACTTTCTCTATGGTTACAAATTAACTTTGTTTGGCATCGTTTGCTGGTTGGAAATGTTTGTTTGAATAGCCGCAGTAAATTTACATTAGGGGCGGATAGCTTTTGAGTTTTGACACATGGAACTTGCATAAACACCTTTGAGGCAAACCTCAGATTCTTTTGGAGTGTGACACCAATTTTAATTTATTTATATTTTTTCTGGAGAAAACTTGTAGGGCTAATGATTAATTAAATGATGATAATTTGGTAAATTCACATTTTTTTCATATTAAAAAAAATGAAAATGAAAACAAGATCAGATAATATGTCCTATTTTTATGGAATACAACTACCCATTATCTTTTTTACTTCTAAAATAATTTATTTTTTAAGAAAAGCCTCTTGCAGTCGTGGAAACACGTGCGAAGAGGCTATTTTCTTATAAATAAAATTCATTTTTTATTCTTGCCTAATGGGCTAATAGCTAGAAAGATCATTAGAATGTGAGGTATCATAAAGAATTTAAATTCTCATTCCACAATAACATTGGTATAATAAATAATTGAAGAAATTACTCTATCCTAATTAGCAAAAGTGGTATTTTTGCCCCAAACCCTAAAATAACAAATATTTGAATATTTTAAAGGTATAGCCGATCGGCTATACGTTTTAATATATCCAGGTTTTAACGATGATAATCCTTTTCCATGTAAACAAACAAACAAATTGCAAAATCAGAAACATACGTACATTGGACGCCACGGAAAGAGGACTCGAACTCGTCACTACGAACGTCTAGGGCACAGAGCAAGCCCGTTCCAGGTTTCGAGCAGTGTTCGAAAAATCGGCCTAGGCACTAGGCGGGAGGACACCAACGCCAGGGAGTTAGGCGGCCTGGAAGGGTCTAGGCGGCACCTAGGCGGCCTGGAAGAATCAAGGCGGCACCTAGGCGGCCTAGGCGGATCTAGGCGGGCTGGGAGGATCGTGTCCATAGTTATAGTCTACTTAGGCATCCATAGTTCTCCAAAAATTTACAAGTAGCAAAACAGAGAAAAGACGAGAATCATGGAGAGTTACCAATCCTTCGATCTGAACAACTCTGAGAGGGGAAGCAACCTTCTCTGTCGCTGCCACCTGAAGAAAGGATCTTGCCACCGCTGTACAATCAACAAAACAAAACCAAATTTTCACAAAGAAGAAAAACAAAAGCAATCAAATTTACAGATAAAAATACAGAAAGAGAATTGTACGAACGGGTTGCCATCTTATACTACGTGGACTATCCCAAGGCTACGTGTGCCTTCGGCACTCACCTTCGGTACCGGACCTACCGATCACAACATTTGGGCAACCTTGCCCACTCTGGCACGTGGCAGCCCCACGATTGACGCCCAGAGTCCCACATCGAAACTCTAAACAAATTGCACACCTCCCAAGGCCTATAAAAGAGGACACCCATCCCAGCCTGAAGGTAATCAATCAGAACTTACGGCATACTGCCTATTGATCTGCAGTTAAAACTTACTAAATCCGTACTTACTTAAGCATCGGAGAGCCTTCGGCCGGTACCACACCGGTGCCCTAGGATTTACCGTGTGTTTGCTATCTTACAGATCGCACACCCTACCGAGGACATCAGATACCGAAGAGACTTAATCACTAAGTTGCGCGGGAAAGTGCAGAACCATTTTTCTGCGTCAACAGTTTGGCGCCGTCTGTGGGAACGATATAATCGACCTACAATTCCTAAACAAAACAAATGGGAACCACTTCAGGACAACAGTTCCTATCAGAGGATGGATTACCGTACGGTATGCCAAGTGGAGCAAGCCCCGCGCTGCACCCTAGCACTCCCTTCGGTAATCCACCTGCGCTTCAGACCACGGTCGAAGCAGAGCTTTTGGCTCAGATGACCTCCCTCCGAAAGGAGATGGCTAAACTCCAAGAACGTAACAATCTCCTCTCGTCCAAAGTGGACGAGACCCAACGGTTGCTTAATCAGCAGGATACGCAAAACGTTCGGACGACCGAATCTTCCCAGAGTCAGCAGACCCCCGGTCGGCAGAGGAAGGGAAAACAGGGGGCAAAGGCAACGCCTGCGCCCTCCAAACAGCTGGTAGTCCCGGCACCCCCGGACCAACCGCACGTACCGAAGAAGGTATACACCGATTGTCGTTATCGGATCAACGACAAGAGGGATGCCGAACGGCATAGGTCCCCAATCAGACTAAACGCCAACTTGAGAGACTCCCGGATGAGGGTCTTGGGGGACAAGTCGCCCCTTCGGAGGGCTCAGGGTTTGGAATCGGCGCAGGAATCCGACGATGAGTACATCCCCACCAGGGACATCGAATCGAGCTACCGTTCGGAAGCTCCCCCGGAGTATTCGAAGGCAAGATCACCAAGTCCGAGGAAAACTACCGAGGACTTTTGTTCCGAGGACGTCCCCAGCCGAGACCCCACCATCCGATTACTTTTTCAAAGAATCCAGAAGATGGAGGAGGACCGAACCCGATCCCAGGTCCCTGACTGGGGAAAACTTCGGCCGGGACCGTTTACCGAGCGCATCAAGAAGTCCAGACCGGACAGGGAGGTGCAGCCGTTGCGCATACCCTTCTATACCGGTGTGGAGGACCCTCTGACGCACCTTCACTCTTTCCAATCGGCAGTTGGATGTAAGGGCCTAAGCGACGAGGGACAATGCCTGCTGTTCCCCTCGTCCCTTACCGGAGCTGCACTGAACTGGTTCTACCGTCTCGAGCCGGGGACGGTACACTCCTTTGAAGAACTGAAGCAGATCTTCCTCAACCACTTCATGATCCAGACGGACCGTCTGTATTCTGCCGATGATCTGTACACGATTCGGCAAAGGGAGGACGAACCCCTACGGGAATACGCAGCGCGCTTCAGCCACGAGTACTCGAGGTGTCCCGAAACGGACGATAGGGCAGCCTACGGCGCGTTCAAGAGTGGCCTACGGTCCTCTCACTTCCGATATCTCGTGCACAGTAGCAACTGGCGCACGTATGACGAGTTAATGAAGCAGGCGGCAGTCCATGCGAAGGCCGAATACTTCAACTCCAAACCCGGGCCTTCGGCTCGGAAGGAGGAATCGGCAGCCAAAGGCTATCCAGGCCGAATCGACGAACCGTCGGCAGGACACAAACGGAGGGACGACCGGGATAGCCGTCAGGGAAACTCGAAGAAGGGACGTGGGAAGTACGGTCGTAACGACCACCGGGCACCCCTACCGAATCACGATCGTGCTCAGGAAGTCTTCACCCTGCTGAACACGACATACGAGACCGTTCTAATGAACGAACATGACCAGATCCCGAAGCCGACCAACCGGAAGCCCAATCGGCAGGATAATCGGGATACTGGCAAATTCTGCCGATACCACCAGCAGAACAGCCACAATACCGAAGACTGCATCAGTCTAAGGAAAATTGTCGAGCGCCTGATTCGGGAAGGGAAGTTGGATCAGTACCTTGCCAGGCCGCCGCAGGCCCCGGCACCAAATGCAAATCGGCAGATCAACATGATCAATACGATCAGCGGTGGCCCCACCCTGGCAGGACCCTCTAACCGATCGGTGAAGCAGTATGTGCGCGCCGCCCACTGCCCTCAGGTCTTCGGCATAGCAGAGGATCGGTGCCGAAAGATGCCGAAGGTAGGATGGGAGCCCATCACGTTCAGTGAAGAAGAGGAGGAGGGGATCATCTACCCCCACGACGACCCAATGATCATTCGGGCCGAGATCGCCGAGTACGACGTGGGTCGGGTGCTGATTGACACCGGAAGCTCGGTGAACGTGATCTTTGCCGATGCGTTCAAGGGACTGGGGATTGCCGACAGCATGGTCAATCGGCAAATCACGCCTCTCCTCAGTTTCTCTGGAGATATGGTGCAACCGGTCGGTAGCATCAGTTTGCCCATCGCCTTCGGCGTGGCCTCCAGGAAGACCATGACCTACGACCAATTCCTCATTGTCGACTGCCCAACGGCATACAACGTAATCATAGGGCGAACGGCACTCACCAAGATCAAGGCCCACCTATCCCCGCATATGTTGTTGATGAAGTTCCCGACCCGCAACGGTACTGGAGCCATCCGGGGCGATCAGCTCAGCGCACGGACGTGCTATGCCACGGCCCTTAAGTCGGTGGCCAGCAAACCGCCAATGGAGGCCATGACCGTCCAGGGACTACCGAACGGTAGCGAGCCCATTGACGACCCCAGGGAGGACAATCCAACGCCGGTCGCGCAGCCCGCCGAGGAGCTCGAGACAATAATCCTGAACGAGGAATTCCCCGATCGGTGGGTGAAGATCGGCACCAATCTGAACCCCGATCTCCGAGGGCAATTCATCGACTTCTTACGGCAGCATGCGGAGGTCTTCGCTTGGTCTTATGACGACATGCCCGGCATATCACCCGATGTCATCAGTCACAAGCTCAGCATCTCCTCCGCCCACAAACCAGTCAGGCAAAAGCGCCGATCGTACGATGCCGAACGGTATGAGGCGATGCGTGCCGAAGTTGACAAGCTCAAAGCCATCGGCTTTATCAGGGAAGCTACGTACCCTGTGTGGCTTGCCAACTCGGTCATGGTTCGGAAGGCCAGAGGAGGATGGCGAATGTGCCAGGATTATACCGACCTCAACAAGGCTTGTCCGAAGGACAGCTTCCCCCTACCGAGGATTGACCAGCTCGTCGATGCCACCGCCGGGCATGAGCTGCTCAGCTTCATGGACGCGTATTCAGGATACAACCAGATCTTCATGGACCCTGCCGATAGAAAGCATACGGCATTCATCACAGATCGCGGTTTGTACTGTTACAACGTCATGCCCTTCGGCCTGAAGAACGCGGGGGCAACTTACCAACGGCTCGTCAACCGGATCTTTGCTAAATACATCGGCGGCATCATGGAGGTTTACGTTGACGACATGTTGGTAAAGAGCCGAACGGCGGGGGGTCACCTTGAAAACTTGGCCCTCATGTTCGGTATTCTAAAGGACTACCGAATGCGACTAAATCCGGCGAAATGCGCATTCGGTGTATCTTCCGGAAAATTTCTCGGGTTCATGATCAGTCAAAGGGGAATCGAGGCCAATCCCGAGAAAATAAAAGCCATAATCGACATGGAAACCCCGAAGACGCAGAAGGACATTCAGAGCCTTACCGGACGTGTCGCTGCCCTGACACGCTTCATCTCCAAGGCTACCGATAAATGCGTACCGTTCTTCAAAGCTTTGAAAGGGGGCAAACATCATATAACATGGACTCCCGAATGCGACCAAGCGTTTCAAAACTTGAAAACTACATGAGCCAAGCACCATTGTTATCAAAACCACTGCCAGGCGAGGTACTACTCCTGTACCTTTCGGTATCCAGCACTGCCGTCAGCTCAGTGTTGATAAGGAGGCCAGAGAAGGCAGAGCTACCGATCTTCTATGTCAGCAAGGCGCTCCAGAGCGCAGAACTTCGGTACCCACCCTTGGAACAACTAGCGCTGGCCCTGGTCGTCTCGGCACGAAGACTTCGCCCCTACTTCCAGGCTCACGAAATCACGGTTCTGACGAACCAACCTCTTCGGCAGGTGCTCCAAAAGCCGGAAACATCCGGCCGACTGGTCAAATGGGCGATTGAGTTGGGAGAGTTTGATATACAGTTCAAGCCAAGGCCCGCAGAGAAAGGCCAGGCCGTTGCCGATTTCATCTCCGAACTCACACCACCAGCTCTATCGGAACCGTCATCGCCGAGTGCTGTAACTACCGAACCAGAAAAAATGGATACCGAACGTTTCGACGCGTCCACTCCTCTCTGGATCCTGCACGTGGACGGCTCGGCAAACCAGCAAGGCTGTGGTGCCGGCTTAGTATTAACCACTCCAGACGGTAGCAAAATCGAGTACGCCCTCCGATTCAACTTCCGAACCTCCAATAACGAGGCAGAATATGAGGCCCTCCTGGCTGGCCTTCGGCTAGCCCAGAGCATGAGCGCGAGGCAGATCAGCATTCACAGCGACTCCCAGCTCATAGTAAATCAGATAACGGCAGACTTTGCAGCAAAGGATGCCTCCATGTCAGCCTATCTATCGGCAGCCCACCAGCTACTACAGAAATTCCAAGCCTATAAGATACGGCAGATCCCTAGGTCTGAAAATAGCCATGCCGATGCACTCTCGCGATTGGCTTCGGCAATAAATGACAAGATCGGAAGGAAGGTACCGGTGGAGATATTATCCCAACCAAGTACAACCGCCGCTGAGGTATGTACCGTTCGGTACGAGGATACATGGATGTCCCCAATCTATGCCTATCTGAAGGCCGGAACCCTTCCTACCGACAAATCCCAAGCTCGGAAACTCCGCTACCGATCGGCAAGATACACAGTCATCAACGATGTCCTGTACAAACGGGGCTACACGACGCCGTACTTAAAATGCCTGACCAAAGAGCAAGGGGACTACATCCTTCGGGAGGTCCACGGCGGAATCTGCGGGGACCATTCTGGTTCCCGATCGCTCGCACACAAGGTCTTCCGGCAGGGTTATTTCTGGCCGACTCTGCATCAGGATGCAAACACACTAGTCAAGAGGTGCGACAAATGCCAACGGTTCGGTAGTGTCCCTCACATTCCCGCCGAGCCACTGTCACCGATCGTGAGCCCATGGCCGTTCGCCCAATGGGGACTGGATCTAATCGGTCCGATGCCAGAGGGCAGGGGTCAGGTAAAATACGCTGTTGTTGCCGTAGACTACTTCACCAAATGGGTAGAAGCCAAAGAACTAGCGGCGATAACGGCAGCCAGAATCGAGGATTTCGTTTGGACAAACATTTGCTGCCGATTCGGCATCCCCTACGCCATCGTCACGGATAACGGCAGGCAGTTTGATTCGGAAGTCTTCCGGCAATTCTGCAAACGGCTCAAGATCAACCTGTTCTTTGCTTCGCCAGCACACCCCCAATCGAACGGACAGGTCGAAGCCATGAACAAAATTGTCAAGAAGCTGTTGAAACGGCAGCTTGACAAAGCCAAAGGAGCATGGCCAGAAAAGCTTCCGGAGGCGCTATGGGCCATACGGACATCTTACCGAACGGCAACGGGGGAAACACCATTCTCCATGGCTTTCGGTTCAGAGGCAGTGGTCCCAGTAGAGATCGGAGAGCCCTCCTACCGAACGGAAACTTTCGCACCGAAGGCAAATGAGGAAGCGCTAGCTTTGAGCCTCGACTTACTCGAAGAGCGCCGAGCACAAGCCAACCTTCGGAACGAAGCCTACAAACAACGCGTCTCTCGGTATTATGACTCCAGAGTCAAGTCCCGCTCTTTCCGAGTCGGAGATTGGGTCATGCGAAAAGTCTCCTTGGCAACCAAGAATCCCACGGAAGGAACCCTCGGACCTTCCTGGGAGGGACCCTACGAGATCATCGGTATCCAGCGGTCAGGGACTTACCGACTCAGAGACTCCAATGGAAAGACCCTCGGTCACCCTTGGAACATAGAGCATTTGAAATACTACTTCAAATGAAGTCACCTTGCCTACGGCAGGGTCACGGAAGAGTCACAAAAGCCTCCGGCATCTCTACCAACACAGCTTCCGGCATTATAGCGTTACCAAGCCAACGGCGGGTTCTATATTGTAAAACGCGCTCATAATTGTAATCTCGCCTTCGGCGGTTTATCAATAAAAAGGGGCTTCGGCACACATATTCGGCACCTTTGTTATGTCTTTCAAATCTATCCATTTTTGTTCAAAAAAAAAGGGGTACGGTAGGGACCATCGGTCGCAGCTAACTACGCATTTTGGCATCGCCATTATCCTACCGATTAAAAGGCAACTTGGTAAACTTTACTGGACGTTATATTCTTTCGGCAATTACTTGCCATTGCTTTACAATCGGAACCCCTGCGTAAAAGGAAAGTCACTGGCCAACGGCAAGTGACCTTTGTTTAAAAACAATCGGCCTTAAACAGAAAAATTTCCTAAATACGCTACCGATTCAAAAGTAAGATGAACGAAAAACGTGAACTTTAATTAAAACATGCCTACGGCATCGGTTATCCAAAATAAAAGATGCCAACGGCATCAGAGTTAGTACAAAACTACAAGAAGTACAGGAAAACAAAATTACAAAAAAAACAAGCGATCAGGACGAAGGACCCTCGGCATCGGCCCCTTCGGCATCTGCAGTTTCAGGCTCTTCCGGAGCATCTTCCCCCTCGTACTCTTCGATCATCTCTTCTGTCACGCCTTCGGGAAGGGGAAGAGGATCGGCAATGAAGTTCAGATTGAGCTTCGTCCCAGGATTGTACCGCTTAAATCGGTAGATGAGATCCACCATCTCCGAGCCCACCTCCTTGTCGAGCAGGGTAGAGAATTCGGTAGAGTGGCGATACTTCCGAATGGCCTCCTGGACGGCAGCCTCAATCTCTGATGCTTTGGCACGCTTCGACTCCTCCAGAACCACCTCAACGGCACCCTTCGCCTCCAGAGCCTCCTTAGCCGACAGCTGTGCCGATTCCAGGGCAGACGACAGATCCGCGAACTTGGACTCGTAAGCCTTGACCTGCCGTTCGGCAGCTTGTAAGTCTTTCACCAGGTTCGCGTGATCCTGGATAGCCTTGCCAGCCTCGGCAACCCTGGCCCTGCCGTCCTCGTAGGCCTTCTTCGCCTTCTCAGAGGCATTGATGGCCCGCTTCATGCAAAGCCACATGTCCATCGAAGCCTGCAAAACAACGAGCATGTCAGCAAAATACAAATATGATCGGTAACCTGGACCGGAGAGTGTTCTGGACTTACCGATGCCTGAAGACGGAAGGCGCGACCCGCCTCCTCCCGAAGGAGCCTCTTCGGCAGCTCCTCGATTTCGTTCAGCTCCATTTGCGAACCGATAATCATATGGTTCGCGAACTGGACCGCCTTCGACGGACAGGCCAGGGTGACGGGATCGGCAGGCTCCTCGTCATTATCGGCCGCAAAAATAGCCCGAGTCGGCTCAGCCTGCCGTCCGCGTTTTGGGGCCGGTTCGGCATCCAGGTCGACAGTGAAAGGCCGTTTACCGGCCGCTCGGGAGGAAGCCCCTTCGGTGGAGGTGCCTCGGCGGGGAGAGGGGTCGGCAGCTGTCGCTCTGGTCTGTGCCGATCCGGCGTTAAGCTCACGGAGGCGATCGGCAAGCGTCTGGTCCTCAGGGTCCACCGATGCCGAACCCTGCGGCTGGGTTTTCTTTTTCTTCCCCTGGAAGCCCATCATAAGACGGCGCTTGGAGGACTCGTTCATCCTCTTGGCCTCGGCAGCTCTCCTGTCTTCCGTCACTACGAGAGAAAGGGATCGGTAAGAACCACAACAGAAGAAAAGAAACAATTGCAAATCACGAAGTATACTTACTCTCGGTAGGATCGACCAGCTGGGCCCGGATCAAGTTGGCGGTGAAGAGGAACTGCGGATATACCCTCTCCTCGGCAGGGACTTTCCTCCTCACCCTCTCCACTTGCTGAATCTCGGCCTGCGTTGCGATCGGCTGCTTCAGCTTACCTACAAAAAGAAGAGCGAAGAGGGGTTACTCACGGTAAAACATGTAACTGAGATGAGGTACCGAACGGCACGTGGTCCTACCGGCCATTTGGAAGGTTGTGGGAATGCGAAATCGGACGGGCTGTCCCGAAGGCGACTCCCAATCACCCGAGAGGAGCACCCGCCGATTCCTCCACGACTTCTGTGAAGTCGGTACCCAACTGACGAAGTGGCCTCGATCGGTAGCCCTGAGGCAGTTCGCCTGCACCCATCCACCGTGATCGGCACATTTGGACTTGGTGACACTGTAGAGGTGGGAGAACTGCTCGTAGGAAGGGCTCCCTTCGCCAGCCATACCGAAGGCTACGTTGTAATTTCACGGAGAAAGCAATAGAAGAGAAGAGAGACAAAGCAATAGTATAAGATGGGAAGCTTTGTCTCTCTCGGGCGCGGAGGAACCTCCAGGTCATGGGTTGTAAACCTTCCAGGTCATCATCTGGTCATTATTAAGGTAAGAGATATGTTAATTTTCCAATATCAATCGCAGATATATTGCAACTAATGGTTTTGGTCACACATGACTATATAGAATGAAAAATTGAAAGAAAGAAATATGTGAATGAGATTACATGCTATTCTCCCTTTATAATCAACAGTTGCTCAGATTCTACAAAAAAAGATGGAAGTAGATGTCTATCACAATCGGCCCGCCTAACAATCAATAAACACAAATCATATTACTTTCTGAATATTTGCCTCAAATATTAATACTAGGAATCAGGTTGTTTGGGGTTTTGAATATCAGAAAATCTAATAAAGTCAATCGATGAAGTCTTGCATTCCTATATCTAATCAATAAAGCATTTTCCCCTTTATTTTTTCAATACTCTGCGCCTATCTTTTTTTTGCTGTTAAAGTTCAGAACGCCTATCATTTACATTTTTCTAGATGCAAAGTTGCATATAGTTTTCAACTTCAATTGGCAATGATCCTCTTGTACTTAAATATGGTGGTGAAGACACAAGTTAAAAGCCTTTTGGTTTTGATTACAGTCCTTAGTATTTGATTTATTAAGCCTGTACAAGATCTTACATGAGAATAGTTTTCTACAGATGTTTAATCCAGCTTACTATGGCTTGGACAATTCTAAACCTGAGGTTCTCATCAGCCCTTACTTGTCTAGGTAATACCATGCTCAATTCTCATGTAGATTTATCTGGCCTGAGGGGAAGGGTTGGATGTGAGTTAACCAGACCTTCAGAGACCCCTAAAGCATGAGAAATTATGACTTACTCATTAAAGTGTTGTTAGAAGGGCCACTTTGGAATTTAGCCAATTATATTTTTGTCTGCAAGGAAAATGTGCTGCTCTTGCCCTTAAATGGTACACTAATTGTTTCTGAAAAAGGTGAAGCTTTGATTTATCTAATTATTTATTTTTAACAATTACTCTTTGACTCGGATGATTTGTTCCTTAAGAAAGTAGAGTTTTCACTTCCTAGCCTCTTCTCATATCTTTCGGGTTCTTTTCAGGGTTTATGGTTTGATGGGGATTCTTCCTTATGGATATGATGCCATGCATGAATGTTGAACTTGCTGACTCGCTAAGCAAAAGAGGAATATTCAGCGTACAGCAACTATTCCCCAAGGCAACTTTGCAGACCATGATTGGAAATTTTCTTGCTTCAAAATTGTATCAGGTAGAGACTTCTAAGATAGTTGACACATGGCTGACTAACCCACAGGTCAAGATTTAACATGACTGGACAACTTTTTGACTGATTTCAGTAGGCATTGCACCCATAATATTTTGTTCTTCTAGGATCTGCAGCCTTTTCCACGTATCAAAGTGTAATTAAAACTTCAGCAACAGGACAGCTGAAAGTCTCGCTTTTTAGACATTACACCGGTGAACACCAATTTCAGGCAAAACAAATCAAGAGCGTTTACCCCTCGTTTCCCTAAGGTTAAAACTTCTTTTTGTTCTAAACTAGTAATGAGAAACCAAACTGAGCTCCAGATTCTCTTTTACAGGTGAAAAACGAAGCATATGGTGGTTGGTCCTTGGGAACACCTCAACATGGGAATCATATGCTCTCATAAGAGTATCTTTGTCTGATCACTTGGTGATTCACATGGAGTTACCATCAGTTCCTAAGATTCTCCAGGTACTACATGGCTTTTTCATGCTTTGCTTGCTAACATTTGTTTTACCATGCTTTCCAGGGGATGAAATTGACTTTAATTTCAGATTGTTATCTAAGCAAATTATTGAACTGGAGTAACCAAAGCAAGATATATTATCAGTAGATACATTGGACCTTAGGGTGTATAGTTATAGATAGTTTTATAAAAGTATCAATACATTGGACCTTAAGGTGTATATCAGTAAATATACAAATTTCATGCGGCTATACTATTTAAATATATATTTCCTTCCTTACATATTTGAGTGAGATTGAGTAGTAGTTGTGAGTGGAGTCTCTTTCCCTCTCCCACATATATTTCTCAGACTCTAATCCTAGAAGGAAGGAGATAAAGAGTAAATACCATGAAGACTTTTTTTAGGACATGGAAATTTAGATTCAAATGCATTCAAGCAATTTTATACTCTGAAATTCAACATTCTTTGATCCACAAAAAGTTGGTGGATCCCTTTTGGTATTGTATTTATGGGTTTAACCCCTGTTATTTCTTATTCTTGCCCAAATAATTGAAGAAATGACTCTAGCAAAATGAGCTAAAGTGGTATTTTAGCCCCAAGATCTGAAAAAATTGTATATTTAAAGAGTATAGCCGTGCGTCGATACGATACAAAAAAAAATAATAATAATAAAGAATACAGCCGAGCGGCTATACGCAACAAAAATAAAAAAGAGTAAGGCCGCCCGGCTATACTCGTAAAAAATAAAAATAATATGCTCTAATATAGAAAAGGATATAGCCGAGCTGCTATATGCTTTTTTTTAAAAAAAAAGTCTAGCCGCTAGTGCCTGATTATAATGTAATAGTCTAGCAGCCGGTGCCTGATTAAATAAAAGTCTAGCCGCTAGTGAATGGGGCATTCATAATGTAATATACTAGAATAATTAAAAGGACGTTGCCACTAGCTAGTGCCTGATTATTCATTGCAAATCAGTTCCTTCATCTGCGTATCTTTCAAGGTCATATGACTCATCATACCCTATTCAATTACAATATACACAATTTAAGGTCTTGTTTATTAAGCATAAACTCGAGCGAGCCTTATTATTTATGAGATTTTCTATTTAAATCCCGTACTTCTCTTTGTTCACTCTCAATACTTAAATCATTAAGCTGTAAGTTTTATTATTGTCTAAAAAGACAAAAAAGGTCATCCAACTTAATAATTAACCCTAGTACATCTATACTAGGGTTAACCCACCACTTTTCATATTAAGTTTTAGAAACCTCCTTCCAACTTCCAGTTTACAAACTCTCTCTTTCTCTCTCTCAATAATACCCAAGCGTTAAAATTCCAGTTACAGTTATTGGAAAAAGGTAAAGTTGTTCTCTTTCTCTAGAAAGTATTAAATTTCTAATTTGGGGTTTCATTTGTTTGTGTTTTTTTTTGCTGGGAACAAAGAAAATTGTGGGGTTTAAATAGAAAATCTATTTTAGTTCTTAATTTTCATTTTTTTTTTCCGTTTGGGGTGTATTTAAGGGTAGGTTGGGAAGATAGTGGGGGTTTTCTTTGAAATTGTGAAAATTTATATTAAAAGTTGAGGTGAACTTAGAACATGGGGTGAACTAAGAGAAGTGTGGGGTTTAAATAGAAAATCTCTTATTTATTATCATAAATCTCTGCACTCAAAATATTATGCATAAATTGAGTCGATACTCTTTTTTCTTTGAATTTTTTGCCAAGTTTTGAGTTGATACTCAATTTCTCAGTAACCAATGCCTCCCATTTATAGGCGCTTGACGAAAAGCAAAGATAAGTCTTTGGCCTTTAATACTGGCAGATAAGACGTTGGCGATTGAGTGTTAAATATAGTTTTTAATGATGGATGTTCAGATGGTAGAAGCTAGGTTTTAATGCTTGTGGAAGAGACGTGGGTAGCTCTGGCTTTGATGCTGGTAGAAGAGGCTGGTTGTTCTCTTTGCTTACTCTTGTAATTGGGCTCATGAGAGTGGGCTCGAGTTTTGGTGCGCCCAAGCAGACCAAAACTTCCACTCTTTGACCTCTCGATGGGCCTTATAGACACTTTTAACCATCCACAACACAACCTGCTCAACAAGCCCCATGCATATCTATAGCGTGGGCCTACTTAAGCGTGCTGGGTGGTTTAACATTGAAAAATGTATTAGCTTGCACATAGTTATTTGACATTTGCTTGTTATGACATGCACACTATTTGATCATGTATAAAAAACATTCGTACATTCATTTGGGAATAAATTCATGAAATACAGCTTGGATTAGCATGTGACAACTTTTGGACGTTATATTGGGCTTTGAATATTCTTGGGCTTCTCTTGACATTTTGGGCCTCAACAATAGGGAAAAAAATCTCTAGTTTTGTTTCAACAGCTGGTGAAATAATGATCTGTGTATTACTAAGATCTTATATTTTTAGAAAAGTTGATATAAATACAAATTTTCTTTGAGAAGTTGGGTTTAATCCTCGGATTTGGCGACTTTGATACAAATCCTTTGACTTTTGTTCCATATACGATTATGTGATAATATTTATCCATTTATGACGTTTGTCATTGAATAGAAAAGGAAAATATCGCAAACACATCCCAGAGAGCATTTAAATAAAAACCTCCATCTCCTTCTCCTTCCAACCTGGCGTGCCGCCCCACTGTGCCAACCCACCTCTCTCACCTCTCCCTCACTGTGGCAAACATAAAGCTTCCAAAAGAAAATACGTGGCAAAAATGTAAACTAAATATCATGATATTTCCTAAGATGCACTTCTCTTATGAACAATCAGTTTCATACCCCAAGAGCTGTTCTCCCACTTCTTCTTCACATCAGTAGCCTTCAATGCAGCAAGCAATTCCTTTTTCGTGGGAACCATTTTGATGTCAATTTTGATGTAAGATACGGAAAGTCTCTTGAAATTCATTTGGCACAGCAAGGTGCTTGGTGGATGACTGCATGTCTATTTTGGCTCAATTTGCTCGAGCCTTTATTTTACATGTTTTTGGGGAAGCAAATACAGTAGCACATCATTTAGCACATGACTTATTGGTAAAAAAATTTATTTTTGTTCACCCTATGGTAGAGGTATATTACATACTCTTGTGAATATATTATCATATGGTGTAGGTATATTGTTGGTATATATATGTGTTTTTCATATTTTCGACAACATATAATAGTATTTTATGTACCATTAATTTTTTTTAATAGGTAGAATACAATTTTTATTTGTCTATTTTTGTATCTAAATTAGACGTGGTCTTCTTATTTATGTTCCTAACTTATAGGTGGTCTT